ACGTATACGAGTTCTGTGGCTGCTCAGGAAATAATCAGGCATGGGAAGGGTTTTGTGGCTCCTGGTGTTTTCTTTTCTGTGGGCAACGGGTCCAAATGGCTCTTTGAGTGTTTAGGGTTGCCGACCCCTGTATTAGTGGGCTTGCACAACACACCTCCTCACCAGCAATCAACACCCAGCTCAGCAGAGATTAACACCAAGATTAACACTAGACCAACAATCAACACTAGACCAAAAGTAAACAGTATCCTAATCAAGGAACTACCAACAGACAAACAAGCTAACAGTAAACAGCCTAATCAAGGAACTGCCAAGTCAATTCCCACCTACATTAAAAGGGCAAGTTGCTGTATATAAAAAGAGAGCATTTGCCACTCCCTTGTAACACTGGTAATGCTACATTTCATGTCCCTGTTACGTTTCCCACTGAAGTGGTACCCATTTATCTACTCGCAGTTGCCTGCTTTCAAACTGCTGGGTCAGCAGGAGTTGGAGCGGGTGACAGCAACTTACCATATTTTTCAGAGTATAAGACGGACCAAGATTTTAAAGAGGCAATTTTTTTTAAAAAGGTTGTGCACTCTGCAGACCTCCCAAAAATGGTTAAAAAAAAGGGCACGCATTGCCTTTAGGAGGCTTATAGAGTGTTCCTGTGGGTTGGGAGGGCAAAAACGAGCAAAAAACGGCCTGTTTTTCACTCATTTTTGCCCTCCCCAGCCCCCAGGAGCACTCTGGAAGCCTCCTAAAAGCTATGCATGGCCATTTTTGCAAAGGGGGTGGGGTTTCAGGAGGCCAAAAATGCTGTATTCAACGTATAAAGCAAACCCAGATTTTCACCCTCCTTTTGGCCGTTTTTCACCCTCCGGAGGATTCAGGGAAGCCTCCTGAAGCATCTGAAGGGCTTCCGGGGGTGGGAGGTGGAGGCTGTTTTCACCCTCCGCAAGCTCCTATAAAGCCTTTGAAGCCTGGGGAGGGCGAAAAAAGCATGGAAAAATGGGGGGAGCGCCTCTCATTCATGCATGCGCATTGGGGGTATTGCATGTTGCATTATGAGTATGGCACGTGAACCAAAAAAAGGTTCGCCATCGCTGGTGTAGGCTATTGGAAAAAGACCTTATCCTCAAGCTTATTTGTTCCAGTAGGTGAAGAAATGAAATATTCATTTTGGTTTTCCTTCTTTTCCTTTAACAGAAGCAAGCCAGCTTCACCAAAGAATCACAGAGAGCGTTTATCACGCACCAATGAATTCAGGAAACTCTTCCAGGTACGAAACACCCAAACTGTGTGGCCTAGAACAATCCTGGCAACGTTAAGACTTGTGGACTTCAACTCCCAGAATTCCCCAGCCAGCAAGGCCTAGGACAGGGGTCAGCAACCTCAAACACTCAAAGAGCCATAAAGGTCTTAACTGGAATCCCTCCCCCCATTCAAATTCTGGAGCTGACCAGAAGTCCGGTTCCCCCACCATAGAGTCTCCTCCTAGTGCGGCATCCTTTTTCCTCTGTCTTGACCAAAAGCCCTATCAATTGTGGAGCCAACCGGCGACAGGAAGCTGCAGCAGGGGGATAAAAGAGCCACTGGTTGCTGACCTCTGGCCTACAGCGATGGTTCTCAACCTTTTCTTCCCCACAAACCCCCCTTTAAATACTTTTTGTGACCACGGATCATGGCCACGGACCAGTGGTGGGTTTCAAAAATTGTTCGAACCTACTCTGTGGGTGTGGCCTCCTTTGTGGGAGTGGCTTGCTGCCCATGTGACCGGAGGGGAGTG